GTACTGAGTAGCTCAGAAATGAAAAATGTTACCCTCCTAGTTCTGAAGCCTCTAAGTAATGACATGACTGTCTTCTCAACTACTACATGTGTAAGCATACATACCTTTTTTTTTCCTTAGTGGTTAAATTAGAAACCAGTATCACTAAGACCCTCAATTCTTTTTCAGGGATAATTATCTCGGTTAAGACACGTTCAGAACGGCAACTCTTACGGTTGAAACAGATAAATATACAATTGGCCGCCAAGATCCAACACCTCGAATTCAGCTGCTCTGAGAAGGTAAGACAACACATCTGGGACGTCCTGTTCGTGATTCCCCACCTTCAGCTGCAGCCTAGGCATCCCCTCCCCCAAGAGCATCTCTTGTCACTGCTGCTCAGTGGACCCTGTCTGACTGCAGCAGACTCCTCAGAACACCAAGTTCCACAGAGTGTAGCGTTTGTTCATCTTTGTGCCCTGGGGCTCACTGAATGACTGTCACATCCCTGGTGAGGCTCAGAAGGTAAATTCCAACATTTGTCTGCTTTTGCAATAGGAGCAAGAAATTGAAAGACTTACCAAGCTATTGAGGCAGCACGGACTTCTCGATGAGGTGAACTAGAAACGCACCAGCTCCACCTAAAGAGAGGCGCTACCTCCCAGGCCTGGGACGACACATCCACCTTCCCAGGGCCACCTGGCGAGAGGTGTGCTTGGATGCTTTTGCCTCCTCCTGCGCAGCATAGATTCTGGGTGGACACAGCCTTTTGGAAGGCTCTATTTCCTTCTTGGTATGACCAAGAGCTGCCCATCCCATTCCCACCCCTCATGCTAGCAGATGTATAAACTACTACATTTGCTCATGTTGAACACTCATTCTTGCTTGAAAGTGAAGCTGGACAGTTACAAGTTTAATCTCACCAAATGTACTGTTTTCAAATTTCACATGTCTGTTGAAGGACCAGCGCATCTTTTCATATGAGCATTCTGAAAGAAAAAAGAAAAGGAGAAGCTACTTTTCTAAGCTGTCCTAAATAGCCACTCTTGTCCCCCAGGGAGGCTGTCCTCAGGCCCCTCCTCTGCGTTATCCAGCTGCATCATCCAGCTTCCAGCTGGCTCACCTAGTTCTGCCACCTGACAACATTCTTCTCAATTACTGTACAATTAATGTATAAAATAAACTCCCTTCTTCCCTTGGGCCCTCCTACTGTATTCTTTCCTCTGTGGCATCTCACAGCAACCCACCCNTTCTTCCCTTGGGCCCTCCTACTGTATTCTTTCCTCTGTGGCATCTCACAGCAACCCACCCGTTGGAGACCTGGCTAGTGACAGTGCCTAGCACAGAAATGGCAATTAGAGACAAGACTCCACTGTAATTAACATGATATTTGGGGGGACAAGCCCCTCAGGAGGCTTTGTACTCACTTGTACTTTGCTATTTTTGTACTCATTTCAAAGGGACCTGAAGAGGAAAGGAAATCTGAACTAAGAATAGTGAATATTTTTAAAATCACTCACATTAAAACAGGGAATGAATAAAATTGACAGATCCTCCATACCTACACTGCTTAAAGGTCTTTTCTCTTTACCACCTCCCCAAAGTCAATTTGGTTTCCATATGTGACCTATGTGTTGAGTATTGGAAATGACCAAGACCAGATACTTCTCCACTCTAAATGCAAACTGAGCAGAATAAGATTTCCAAAAGGACAAAAGTCAGCAGGAAAGTGGAGAGCAGCAGTGTTAATTTTGGGTAGCCTGAAAGGTTAGAAGTATAATAAAATGGGGTGTGTCCAGGAGACTTCTGGCCCCACATACACACTGCTCTAAAGGTGAAGACCCGAGGGGTGGGACGTGGTTTCCTTAAGCAACAACTTACATCAAACAAATGGGAAGAAGAAATTAAAGGGCAGTCTGGCATTGATGGTTGGCGGGGCTCTGAAGCCAGCCTCTGCAGGTGCAGACACATCCACAAAAGTAACTGCAGTGGAAATAAGAATCGTCCTTTCGCTTCCTGTGTTGATCTGTAATAAAAAGACAGATGCAAGCCCCACCCTCCAGTGTGTTACCAGGATAACAAAGATGGGACAGCTTTCATTCTCTTCCTCACTCAACCACTGTCAGTTCATGAATCTGATAGGTGCATGGAGGGCTAATCGGCCATTAACTTGGACGAGAGAAACAATTTTACCCAGTTATTGTGATTAACACATCAGTATCAATCATAACTCAATTTTCATGAGAATTTTAAAGATCAAATCTAAAGAATGTTAATGTGAATAAAACCACTGTCAGTGGAGTTTTTCTTTAAATAAAAGATAAAGAATGACTGCTAAATTGTTTTAAGAATTCAGATTGTTTAAATTATCTTTTTCACAAAGCAATAAATTTCACCTATCACACTTGTTTTGCCTGAACTTCTGTCTTAACCCATACCTTTAAACTAAAGTTACGCCTACCTCTTGAAATGAGGATGAAATTAGATTTGCAGTTACATTTACTATTTTGGCCTGTGGGTTCAGTAAGGATCCGTATTTAGTCCACTTCACTTCCATAACCAAAGCCACTGGGAGCTGGCAAGAATCCTGCAAAATAAAATGCCATTTATCAATTTGAATGTTACACAACCACAAGTCAAACTTAATCAGCACTTCAGAGTTTTAATTATAAAATGTTTCACATATTACAAAATGTTCTGAACAAGAGAATGAATAGACTAAAAGGTCTGATAAAAACAACTTAGAGAAAGCACGTTTTACTCAATGTTCCAAAAACATTTTAACACCTAAAGCATAATTTTTCCATCCCCTCCTATTTCTAAAGAAGCCAGCATCACCTGGGAGTTGTGGTAATCCCAGTACCCAACTGTGGAATCTTCAGGGCCTTAACTGTTTACATCTACCTCACAGATACTCCAGAGAGAAATGGGCGGAAGGGCAAGAGAGAAAATGGATTAACAGATAAATTAAACCTGAGTGTATCACATGTTAAAATGCACTGAGAGGAAATTTAAGTGCTTTCTTTTCATTTATCTAATTTCATCAATTGGCAAGTAACATTTGGGTATCATAGATATTAACTCTTCATCTGCACTGGTGCCACCATCAAGCTGCCCAAATTCAGGTTCAATGCTGCAGGAGCCGGGTCTGAGGCCTCTGCCCCAGGACCTCTGTTTGGTCAGCTCCAAGGGAAAAGCTGGCAAGTGGGCCTTCCCAACTTTTTTCCTGCTTTTAGAGACCCTTCACTTGGCAAATGTGAAAACTGTTGAAGCTGCACAATGGGTAGATGGGGACTCCAGTGTACTATTCTACTTTTGTGTATGCTTGTAATTTTTCCAAAAGAAAAAGTTAAATACATCTCTTCAGGACATGAAAGGCCAGCAGGCCTGCTGGATTTGGTGCCTGCCAAAAGAGCACTGATGGAGTTCCTTAGCTTGGAACTGCCTTTTAAAAACCTTGCAGGCTGAGCAATCCTTGCGAATATCCTGTTATTAGGAGAAGATGAGACATGCAGCTGGTGTAAATCAAGCTTAGCACAGCTGCTGTCATACCTGCTTCTACCTGGGTTTCCTGCAGGGTTAGTACAAAACCTGCTCCAGACCTTCGGAGCACCCTGGACCAGCTCAGATCCTGGCAGTGCTCTGTCCGTGCTGCCACCTCTCCTCCCAGCCTGTGTCTGCCCTTCTGAGGGGCAGTAATAATAATGTTTTCACCCATTGCCAAGAAGCCAGAATGATTGGCCTGGTTCGCTGAGAAGGCAGAGCCAAGACTCAGCAGCTCAGCAGCACGCTGTGTCTGCCCTTCTGAGGGGCAGTAATAATAATGTTTTCACCCATTGCCAAGAAGCCAGAGTGATTGGCCTTGTTCGCTGAAAAGGCAGAGCCAAGACTCAGCAGCTCAGCAGCACAGACTAGGTAATCTGGGGCTCTGCTGGGGTAATCCAGGGATGCAGCGGAGAGGGTGGGAATCAAAGTGAGCAAGTCCTCACCCCCATGATGCCCAGGCTATAAATATGCTAAAAGGACAATGAGAGGCCTGAAGAAACTGTGACAAGATGATGCTGGGCAATTAAGGACAAGATGGAGAGCACGCCTCCAGTGAGGGGACAGCTACACTCTCACTGCTGAGACAAAAGAAAAAGGTGGGCAGGGGAAATCACACATGACCAGGAACCTATTTGTAGAATGTCACCTTCCATTAAACGCTTTGGGGAACTTTGGAAGTGAAAGCTCTCACATGTGGGCTGCCTTTAGGAACCCGGGAACGCTAGGTGGGACCGCTGTGTGGATGGGAGGAAGTCTCAGTCTTTGAGACAGGCCTCACATTCATCCGTCATATCCCAAGGTGCCTAGGGAGAGCTCGTGTAACACCAACAATAACAGTAGTAATAGGATGGTGATCGGAAAGTGGTTCCCATGGATGGAGTGACCACTCGGCACCATGCCGAGGGCCAAAGGAATGTTACTCATTTAACCCTCTCCACAACCCCTACAGGGCAGTGCTATGACTATCATTCCCATTTTACAGATGAGGAAACAGAGGCTCAAACCCCCTAAAGTTACTGGCCTAAGGCAACCTTGCTAACAAGGAGCAAAATCAGTATTCAGGATTCAGGCCAATCTGACAGCAAAGCCCAAGCTCCTCCCCAGAGCCAATGCCACCTCCTTAACAGGTGGTTTCCCCAGCTGCCTGTTACATCACCCCACCTGGAAGTAGGAGACACAGCTATGCTAGCACGTGGCCTTCAATTTCTTCCCCCTTACCTTCATGTTGGATGACTGGGTGACAAAGTGGATAGGCACCCAGTCCAGCACATCCTGGGCCCGGGAATTTCCGAAAGGGGCCACATAATCCGGGAAACCCTGGCCCTTCAGCAGGCTCTTCACCTTCTGCACTACAAGCCAACAAGGGAGAGCACTGGGCAGCCTTTGGGAAGGAAAAAGATGTCAACTGAATAAGGCTGTTGGTTCACATGCCAGCAGTTTTTAAAGGCCTCAATGACTTGTATCCCTCTCCAGTTTCATTATTTTCTCATTCTCCAAAAGAGGGATTATTTAACAGAAGCTAAAGTGCCTCTAACTTTGTGAAATCTTGGCCTGGGAGAGGAGTCCAAACAATGTTTCCCAACTGTGTTCCACTGCAGCTCTGTACAGAAGGGTTCCATGGCCAAAAGTTGGGGAAACATTGCATTTCCAAGTCTTCATGTCCCTCCTGAAGCACACTGGCATATTAAAGGCTTTGAGAAATCCTTCAGGAAAGAATCATGGCTTTAACTTGAATTTGGTGTGTCCCAAACATATTGAACCATGGACCTAGCCCTACTGACATCTTGTGGAAATGTACTCCATAGAACACCCTTTGAGAAATGTTGGTCTAAAAAGATCAGAATAATGTAAATGGAGAATACTGGTCTATCCAAAATAATTACCGTGTGTCCCAAACATATTGAACCATGGACCTAGCCCTACTGACATCTTGTGGAAATGTACTCAATAGAACACCCTTTGAGAAATGCTGGTCTAAAAAGATCAGAATAATATAAATGGAGAATACTGGTCTATCCAAAATAATTACGCTGGGAAGATATGGGAAGTGTGGGGGTTGTGGGATAGGGGTAATGAGGGAAAGAGCCAAATCTTTGTCTTCCATAGTAGGAACTCAATAAAAAATTCATAAAACCAAAAAATCAAGAAGTAACATTACATGCTGGTTATTTAATGATTTGGGGATATATTTTTTAAAAAAAAATAGCCACAAGAGTTGAAAGTGGTTACCTCTGGGGTGGGGCAAATGAAGATAAGAACTGCTGGTTTTACAACATGCTGTGCAGAGCTGCTTGACATCTTACAATATGTATATATTCAACAATAAAAAGATAAATTAAAAACAGATCACATCTGGACTTCCCCTCACTTGTTTTGTTGTGCTGTGTATATTAGGATTCAGAAGTATAGGAAGGACTTTTAGGAGAAATATTTTTGCTGTGAACTCCAGGGCTATGTAAACTTAAAAATGAAACATACAGAGCCTTGAGATTTTTACTGACATATTTGATAAGAAAAGTGGTTGTAATAGTTTTGCTACTTATTCATTAATAATGATAATAAACTACATATGGCTTTCATATAAACTCATCAGTTTATATGATACCGAGGTCTGATTAACCTTGGGAAGAGCAGGAATGCTTTGTTTTTTGATCAACAATAACAAGTTCAGATAGAAACAAGTTACCTTCTTACCTTAGTTTACAGCCAGATTGTATATTGTAACCAAATAGTACTGGGGTCCGGATCCCCTCAATGTCTAAGCAGTCTTGCTCAGTTGTGCTACGAAGAATAGTTAGTTGTCCATATCTATTCATGACCTGAATAATCCCGGACATTCACAGACAGTTAAGGGACAATCACCCAATGCCAGAACAGCCTGATTCTCAGGTAAGAGTACAGTTACACTTGTGTGACATGAGGCCTAAGTGAGACCCAAATCCCCTTTCTCTGGGCCTCTGGGATTTGACAGTTATTTCCCAGGAGAGGGCCAAAAACAGTTATAACTATTTTCCTTGATTAGTAGATCCTCAGAAAAAAATCCCCAGAAACTGGTCCTTTAAAATTATTCCAAATTTTCAAAATCATTACATTTGTTCAGGAGTTTCTGTTAAAATGTGAAATTAAAAACATCTAAATGCCAACCTTTCTGTCTTCAGATTTCATTTTGAAACCCTGACATTTTCCCAGGACAAGCTCTTTCACCCCCAACTGCCCACTCCACTCAGCCCCGCTTGCTGTGCAGCCAGGCCCCCCATCCTCCAGAGCCACAGAGGGAGCTGTGGCCAAGACTGGCCTCTCCTTCTCAAGATCAGCCCACAGGCCCCGCAGCAATAAAGAGAAGTGCAGCCCACACATGTGAACAGGGGAGATCAGTCCTCTCCACAGAACCAAAAAGGATATCCCTCCTGAGGCTGAAACCCAGCAGCTAATGGGAGCCCCACAACATAACCAGGGTTTCCACTGAGAGGAACTGGCTTTGTATTTTGCTGAAAGACAATGCAGGAATGCCCCCCAAATGATTCTCATTTTAATAAGGAAATGACAGGGAGAAAATCAAATGCTTTTCCTAATAAAATCTGGAATTACCAACCAGTAAAAGAATTTCTCCCCCTACTCAAAACTATAAATATATCTACTAAGTGTAGGAGGACATCATGCTGTAAAAGAACAAGCTAACATGGAAGGGAATCTTTTTCCCAAATGGCAAAAGATACAAGGACTGTGCTTGGTTTCATTATAAACTCCACATGCTACATGCAAGCCCTCTGTTCAGTACAAAGGGTTAGTGTGGTAATACTTCTAAATCGAAGGTTTTTTTCACTAAGTTATGATTTCTTCTTAACTTGGCAATTAAATACTTGTACAAAATTGATCAAACTTACCTGAATAAAATGAATTTCAAACTTTTGCTGTAGTGGAACCACAGCACTGCTAACTGTCCCCAGGAGGAAAGAGAGACCAGCCTTTGTTACTTCCCCTGCATCTGTATATATGAGGCTGTACTTTACCTAAAAACAAAATGATACTTCAAATACACTTGTTCCCATTACAGGTATTAATAACACAAAATATCCACAGGCAACAAATCCTTTCCCATTTCTCCACTTGCAGAAGCTTTTCTCTGCTGACTGATTGGATTACGAGGTGTTCCCCAGCATCACCCCCAGTAGATAGGGTCATCTGAGCCTCTCTGTGACCAATTACAAAAGTTCCAAGTCAGTCGGTCTAAGCAGAATGCAATCAGCCCATCTCTGCAGAGGAAACGTGTGAAAACAAACACCACCACAATTCTGACGTATCCTCGCAAGTCGCTAGGTTTGTGGTGACTAGTAAAGAAACACTCCCTGATGAGACAGCAAGTAGGAGGCTAAGCCAAGAAAAGCCACACCACAGAATGGGCCAGAGTCCTCTTTGGAGAGTGTCCAGCTATGCCCCTAGGATATGCAGCTTGAGTCTGCCACAAACAGATCGGGCTTTCAAAGCCAAATTGGGCACCCACCTCAAGAACGACGTTATTGCAGATTCTAACATGCCCAGCATTGACAAGGGATGGCTGCTGTACATCAGTGCCTTCCAGGAGGGTTAGTGTTTTATTTAGAGACTGAATGACAATGGACTGAACAGTGATAGGGACCTGCAAGGTGACGAGCATTGACAAGGGATGGCTGCTGTACATCAGTGCCTTCCAGGAGGGTTAGTGTTTTATTTATAGACTGAATGACAATGGACTGAACAGTGATAGGGACCTGCAAGGTGACGAAGACCTGGATTATTAAAGACGCTCTACAACAGAGGTAGATGGGTTAAAATAGCAAAAACCTTTAAACAAACCTCCACTGATATGCTGCCAAGTGGGGGAATGCTGCAGAACAATATGCATACTCTGATTCCACATTTGCAAAAATACATATATTTATATATAAATACATATATACATTCACAAAGAAAATACTGGAGAAGGATATAACCAAAATCTTAAAAGTAGTTACCTCTGAAAACACATGTTCACACAAAAACTTGTACATGAATGTTTATAGGAGTACTATTAATAATATCTAAACACTGAAAATAACCCAAATGTCAATCAACTTATGAATGGATAAATAAAATGTGGCATATTCATACAAAGAAATATTAGTCATCCACAAAAATGACTTAAGTACTAAGATATGCTACAATATAGATGAGTCTTGAAAATACACTAAGTGAAAGAAGCCAAACACAAAAGGTAACATGTATTATATGATTCCATTTAAATGAAATGTCCAAAAAGATAATAGAGACAAAAAGTAGATTAGTGGTTGCCAGGGGATGAGGAGGAGAGTTGGGAAAGAATGGGGAGTGAGACTGCAAATGAGTACAGGGTTTCTTTTCAAGGTGATGAAAATGTTCTGGCATTAGATAGTGGTGATGGTTGCACAGCCTTGTGAATAAATTAAAAACACTGAATGATATACTTTAAAATGGTGAGTTTTATGGTATGTGGATTATATCTCACACACACACACACACACACACACACACACAACTCCATCACACCATCAAACGCATATACAGTCATGAGTCTCTTAACAACAAGGATCTGTTCTGAGAAATGCATTAGGTGATTTCATCATTATCTGATCATGATAAAGTGTACTTACACAAACCTAGATGACGTGGCCTACCACACATCTAGGCTATATGGTGTAACCATCATACATGTGGTCTGTAGTTGACCAAAATGATGTCATACAGCACATGAATGTATATATGTACTCTCACCTCCAAAACACAATTCCTACTGATAAATCCACACTCTATACACACACAGGCACATCCCTCACACAATCCCAGGATACATATCCTTAAGCCCCAACAACCTCCCTAAATTCAACTCAATTGATGCACAACTTCTATACACACCCTCACACACAGACACAGAGCAGTTATCCCTGGGTGGTGGGATTATAGGCAAGAGAAAACAGAGACAAACTTTTTAAGCAGAATCAGGAAGCCCTGATTACCTCCTTGCTATTAAAGGACATTTTTCATTTATGGCCATTGCCAGCAGAGTGATA